CCCTCCTTGGTCCCGGCACCTTCCCGCGAGCCCCAGTGACAGCGCGGACAGCGGAGTCACAGAGAAGTCACCGTGCGCAGAGGCAGGGCGACGGCAGTGGGCAGCCGCTGGGCCGGTCCCAGAGGCCCACCAGACAAGAGGAGGCACGCAACTGGGACATGCACCAGGAAGCCTGTTTCCCTGTTCTGAGGGGAAAGGTCAAAGAGCTGCAGCCTGCAGCCCCAGAGAATGGCCTCTGTCAAGCTGCCCTTCCCTTACATCCTTCTCTCTCTTTCTCTTTTAATAAGAAGGGTGTTCCTTTCCTCAAAGGGAGAGAGAGGGAGGGAGGGAGAGAGAGACTGTAAACTGTCCAAAAGGACCGTGAGAAAACAGGAAGCTTTGAAAAGTACAAGAGAAAGCAAGATGAAATCTATTTGCAGGCGGGCCCCTGGGGACATGCGAGGCATTGTTAAGCAGGCAGTTCATACAGCTATATCCTTCCTTCTGCTGAGGAGGGCTTTGCTGCCAAAAGGCTGCTATCTGGTCACTGCCTTAACCCCCTCAATGCCAGCCTGAGAGCCCTGATCCAAGCACTGGGTGCCTACAAGTCCCCACTGGGTTGGAGCATCCGAGAGCTTGAGGGGGAGATGGAGCCAAGTTGGCAGAGGCAGTGGGGACCCTTTTCAGGGAGACCTCAACCTTTTCTATCTCTTCTTCCCTCGGCCTTCAGCCCTCTGCTTCAGGCAGGCTGCAGATGACCTGGTGATTCATAACATAGGCAGCTCCCGGCTTCACCCATCTCAAAGGAGAATTTGTCCCGGAAATTCTGGTTGACTGCTTTTCCTGGACAGGTTTCCCAAAGACGGCAGCTGGTTCTTTGCTATTATGGAGCGTGGCCGCTACAAGGAGAGCACCCAAATCAAGCCCTTCATGCTTACGCAGAATCTGGGAAGCATATTTCTGAAACATGGCTTAAGTCTACAGGCGCAGGTCTCTGGAGAAGCTCCAGCTGGCTCCAAGAAGCAAGGAGTCCAGAAGTCGAGCCAACAGCAAAAGAACCCAGAAGGGCAGTAACTTTTCATAAGAAAAAAAAAAGAAACTAAATGGAAACCTTTCCTCTCCTCCAATTTTCCATCCTATTGTTAATGCTTAATCCTGCACTAAATGAATGTTTCTGCTTGCTGCGGACAGCTGTTTCCACTGAGCCAGGGCCAGGGAGAATCAGTTCATGTGACCACAGTAGGAGGGATTGATGTTAGGAAGCATTTTTAGTGCAGAGAATCCCAGGAAATTAGAGTCTGTTACTTAAAGACTCTTCCCCCCACCTTTTTTTTTTGCAAGTTTTGAGGTAAAGGAGATGGAGTCGGGGCTTCCCCAGGTGGCTCAATGGTAAAGAATCCGCCTTCCAAAGCAGGAGATGTGAGCTCGATCCCTGGGTCGGGAAGATTCCCTGGAGGAGGGCATGGCAACCTACTGCAGTATTCTCGCCTGGGGAATCCCATGGACAGAGGAGCCTGGTGGGCTACAGTCTATGGGGTCACAAAGAGTCAGACATGACCGAACGACTGGACAACAACAGATAGGAGCCGATTCTTGGAGTGTGGCTGGGGCAAGGTCTGCCTGTTTTCTTGCAGCCATGTCAATCACGTAGAGGGGAAAACCCTCCCCATGATGAAGGTCAGGCTTAGTTGTCCAGGCCTGTTCTCCACCATCACCACGCAGCCAGCCAGCCAGCCAGCCACTCCTCCCTGCGGGGGTGACTTGCACGGCAATGAGCAAATGGCCTTCTGTTCCTCTCCCAACTCCCAGACCTGAACAAACCCCACCCAGGACCAGATTTCCAAGAATCCAGCGTGACATCCATAAGAAGCAAAGTCACAGGACACCATCTGGGGATGGCCCATCCCACAGTGGTGTCTGGAACCAGTTTATAAACACACAGACAGGCCCTCATTACATAACCTGTACATTCAGACATGCTCTGAAACTCCTTTGAAATGAAAAGAGGGAACGTGTGAAGAGGACACCGAGCAGGCGGCACTCAGCAGGCAGATGGGGCAAAGCGAGGGAGAGCCTGGCAGTGCATCTGGCGCGTGTCAGGAGACGCGTGCTCCTGATGAGGTGACTGACACCCGATCTTGTGTCAGAAATGTCTAAGAAAGGAGTGGGGCCACCTCAGTCGGACAAACGTACACTCTGACATCCAGGGCTTTCTGTTTAAATGACCGACACTCCCTTCCAGGCAGCCTCCGACCTCCTGTGGTCTCCTTGGTGGACCTGCTCACCAGGAAGAAGTGACCTTTGCAGATGGCCAGGCCCACCTCCCACTGGAAAGCTCTACTGCCTCATTTCGGAGCTGGCACTTCACGCTTCAAACCCTTCTCTTATGGGATTTTATCAGGTAGATATCTGGAGCAGATATCTGGAGCCTTATCCACCCTCAAGGAGAGGTCCGATCAAGTTTCTGCAGTTGACCAGCTGATACCCTGTGAAGCATGTGTGGCGCTCTATCGTCAGGGTGAGTGGAGGCCTGGCTCATTGCATCACTGGCCCCATCGAATCCAGTCTTCTGTGCCCTGATACCAGGGAGAACCCTATGAATTCTCAGGCACCCTTGGTCCAAGATCCTCTGCACCCCTCTGGGCCCTTGAGGTACAGAAACAGAACTGCCTCTGTGCCCTCAAATCACACACAGCCTGCAAGCCCTTTTCCTGAATTGGCTCTGCTTTATCAAATCCCTCCATTCCAGAGAAGGTGGACCTGCTCACCAGGAAGAAGTGACCTTTGCAGATGGCCAGGCCCACCTCCCACTGGAAAGCTCTACTGCCTCATTTCGGAGCTGGCACTTCACGCTTCAAACCCTTCTCTTATGGGATTTTATCAGGTAGATATCTGGAGCAGATATCTGGAGCCTTATCCACCCTCAAGGAGAGGTCCGATCAAGTTTCTGCAGTTGACCAGCTGATACCCTGTGAAGCATGTGTGGCGCTCTATCGTCAGGGTGAGTGGAGGCCTGGCTCACTGCATCACTGGCACCATCGAGTCCAGTCTTCTGTGCCCTGGTACCAGGGAGAACCCTCTGAATTCTCAGGCACCCTTGGTCCAAGATCCTCTGCACCCCTCTGGGCCCTTGAGGTACAGAAACAGAACTGCCTCTGTGCCCTCAAATCACACACAGCCTGCAAGCCCTTTTCCTGAATTGGCTCTGCTTTATCAAATCCCTCCATTCCAGAGATGTTTGCTGCCTGGTTTAACTGCTGCAGCTGGCCCTGACTGGTGAAGTGGGAGGGGGCTGGGCTGGATGAATATGGATTTTTAGGGGACTGCAAACCATGCAACAGCACCCGCATATTTTAACAACTTCGTGTGCTCCGCCACCAGTAGATAAAAATACAGTTCGTCCTTGAAGCTCAAGAGTAAACCCAACACAAGGAATGAAGAGGGGCAATGAGCCCCCGGTGGTACCTCTACTGTAGCAGGCAGTAAACCCCTGGAGGGTGGGAACAGCTCTGTGAAAAGTGAAGGGTTTGGGAGTTGCCTGGTGGGACAGTGGTTAAGACTTCACACGTCCAGTGCAGGGAGCAGGGGTTCTATCCCAGATCAGGGAACTAAGATCCCACACGCTGCATGGCATGACCAGAGAAAAAAAAATTTTTAATCTAAAAAAAAAAGTGAAGGGGTCAAGAGACTCAGTGAGGCGGGAAGGAAACCCAAGGCGTGTCTAAAGGGAGACAGGAGAGCTGGTCCGTGGCACCCGCAGGCTCTTGCAGCTGGGCCTGACTCCATGAGTGTGCGCCGTGTGATCACACGGGGCCCTGAATTCAGAGGGGTCCTGGGTCTGGTGGAATGCTCTGCTTTCATCATCTTGAAATTGTGAATAGCATCTGAACGAGGGCCCCATCTTCACTTTGCACCAGGCCCTGCAAATTATGTACATCATCCTGCATACAGCTTCCTCCCTCTTCAGCTCAGATCACTCCAGATGGACATAAACTGACTTTCAAACCACTGGGAACTTGAAGGAGAGCAGGGGAAACACAAGTGGGTGGCAGGAAAAGGGCTGGAGGGAGAACCCTCCCTCCCCTATCTCCGGAGAATGCCCACCAGGTCTAGGGAAGCTCTGGCTCCTGACCCCTCTCACCCCATCCAGGAGGGGCCAGCACAGGAAAGAAGTCAGCTTCACAGGGGGTTCCTTCAAGTGGGGGGACATAGTGCGGAGGGATGAAGGCAGCGACAGCCCCTGGAAGCAGGGAACCCTACTCCAGAAACAGGGATCGACAGAGAATGTCACTGGGACTCTGTCAGACACGCAGCACAGACAGAAGGAACATCCACGTCAAACAGAAAAACACTAATGATATCTGAGCTCGATGATTTCCCTCTGCTCCCCTCTCAGCCCTCTCTTCAGGGCTGTGGGGTCACTTGGCGGTACCTTCCTTGAAGTAAACTATCCAACCCTAAGCGAGACTTCTCCTCACCTGAGGAGTGGAAACCACATGGGGAGAGGGGACAGCCGGGGCACCCTGAGCCCTTCTGAGCAGCGCCCATCAGTGCCTTGGGCTTGACAAGTCTCCAGCCCAAGCTTTACCTCAGTGCATGAAAGAAAAACCCCACCAAGTTAATGAGACCCAGAGACTGGGACACAGATGCTCCACGGTACTCAGGAAGAAACAAGAAGCACTTCACGGCTGTTCCTCTGCCCCAGCAAGCATTTCTGAGGTCACAGCGGGGTTAGCCTTTAAATCTCTTTCATCCCCTCCAGAAGACCTGCCCTCAAATTACACTGCTCAGTCCAAGCCTGCCAATGCAGGAGACTCAGGAGATGTGGGTGTGATCCCTGGGCCAGGAAGATACCCTGGAGTAGGAAATGGCAACCGGCTCCAGTATTCTTGCCTGAAAAACTCCCCGGACAGAGAAGCCTGACAGGCTACAAGGCACAGGGTCGCAAAGAGTGGACCACCACCAACCACGCATATGTGCTGAGCCCTTCCTCTCCACACTCTCTCAGGCCCACTACTCACCTTGCACTTGAAGGGCTTCACGTCCGAGTGGACGATCATGTGCGCCTTGAGGGTCTGCTTCTGCACAAAGCTCTTGTAGCAGAGGTGACACTGGTAGGCGCGGATGTTGGTGTGGATCAGCACGTGTCTCTTCATGTTGGCCAGCAGCGTGAACTCCCGCCCGCAGATCCCACATTTGTGCTCCTTCACGCCCTGGAAGGAGGCAAGATTCAAAAGAACCATGGTGAGCAGGTACAGACGTTCATCAGGACAGTAGTCTTTGCTTTTCTCTCTGACACATAAATCCACCAAGAATTTGGTGACAGATGTTGAGTTCCAAACGGTATGGCTGTAGCCTTGTCAAATGACTATTTTCTTAAAAAGTGTTGATTACATAATCTTCTATTTTCTTCTAAAAACCATAAACTAGCCAGATGTTTAGAGGAAAAGACAGCTATTGCTTCTGTTGTTCCTGCAGGTTGCTTGGGGTTAATTCTGCAGTAACAGCTCTTGGGGATTAATAGGATTCGGGTAAGAGCACTGCAGAATGTTATGTAAAATCAGTCTCTAATCCAGCTTTCATGATAATGAAAAAACAAAACCTCCTAAACTTATAATATCATTTCCCGTATGAAAACCAACGTTCTCTTGAGTTCTCATTAATGGCTTTGAAAATTCAAAAACAATCAGATCCACACTTCAAAAACATTACAGCTTGATAATCACCTCTTGAGATGGTCCCCTGGGTTCCCCCAGGCCATGGTGGCCTTGGTGTGACTTGACTATGAAGCTCCTCCAAGCCAGCTTCTGTCTGACAGAGAAATTTGGCAGAGGATAGCTATCTCAATTAGAAAACAGGAAAGAAGATTTTCTAGTTTCCCTGCTGTTTGTGGAGAAGTGTTTGAATACTTAAGCGTCAACGCCCTCAACTGAAAGCGTGTCTAAGGACTCACGGCGTGAGTAGAATATTACCTAATCCTGACCAACCAGTGCTTCCCTGAAATGGCTGCTGCAAGAAATTTTGACCCAGAATGACTTTTGGGGAGGAAAACGTGGAGATCCATGGTAATAAAACTAGGGTTATTACAGGTTTAGACAAATCTTTAGCTAACAACTGTACCTTATAAAATCCATACGGCCTGGTATTCATTCACAGGGACTAGGGCGGGGGTTGTTCCAAGGTTCTTTCTGCCTGTATTTCCCTTCCTTTAATTTGGGACATGGTACAAGAAAGTACCACTCCTCAATTTTGGTGAGCCCATGGCACTAAATGGTGAGAGTTCAGGTCCCGGTCTAGCCGTTTACTGACTGCATAATCTTAGTTGGGTCCCTCAGCCTTCTCAGCCTTTCTAGGTGAAGCACTCAAATGGAGAGCCGGACTCTTTCTAACTGGAATACTGTCTAGTCTAAGTGACTGCAGATGATTTATGCTAATGGAGAGATCTAAATTTTAATGTCCTCCTAAGAAGATGAATTTTTTAAATGTGTTGTATACTCAGTGAGTTTAATATTATTAACAAAACTATTTTCTTAATGAGTTTTCAAATTTACTTCAGTATCTTTATTCTCAAGATTGTTCCTATACTTGGTTGTGATCGAGATAACTAGATCATGTACCCAAGTATAGGAACAATCTTACAGAAGTTTCATACCTTCTACAATGTATTCCTTTTCCACACATACAGGAATCCCTGAAATCAGCACGCGGTCCCTCTGGCGGCTGCCTCTCAGTTCAGGCTCTTTGTTGACGGCTCCCGCACTAGGCAGGCACCTCCACTCTGGGTGTTTCTAAGGAGCCTTTTGCAGGGCAGCTGTTTGTGCAGAGCCAAGGCAGCTACACATTTTGTCTGTGTTTGGTCTTAACCTATCAGATGAAACCCACAAAGCCAGAGCAGAAATATTATCTTGGCTGGGCAAAGGCCTCCACTGACCTTTCAGAATGAAAAAATGTTTTAGCAACTCTGGCTCGCTAGAAGTCTCTCCTGCCAAGAAAACCACTTGAAGTCAAGGGTGATAGAGCAGAGGTCAGTGGGGCAAACTTCCCCTCTTGGAAGCTCAATTTAGACCTAAGTTAGCTTAGCTGGGTAATATCTCAGGGACACACCAGGGACTTGTTTTAGTTCATCCTGAGTGACTCTAGGGCTGTGGTCGCACACTAGGCTGAAGGTAGACATGTGGGCCTATATTTCTCCTTGAAGAACTGAGTCTTGGGGAAGAGAAAACCAAACCCAGAAGAGAAGAATGCACTCATGCCTCCTGTAACTCAAACCACAGAGCACTGCAACCAAGCGGCAGAAGCTCAGTGGGGGAAGCACGGACCCTGCTGCCCCAGGCCAAGGCTCTGCTCCCCTCAGAGCCACCTGCAAATGAAGCAGTTGAGAGGAGAAACTAAACCAAAAGGTAGCCACAGATTCAGCAGAAAAAGACCAAGAGAACTTTCCAGAGTTTTCTAGAAGGCTCTGACTAGTGTATCCCAGGTGCAAAGCTGGTCTTGGGTAGTTGGGACTGATGACACACTCATGCTAGTGCCCTGGATGAAGTTTCCAGAAATGAAACCTCAGGAAATCTGGGAGGCTAAGAAGCAACAGCACAAGGACCCGCTGTGATGCGTCCTTCATCTTTCCTCACCCTCCTCTCCAAACTGCATTATTTCTTTTGAGGCCCACCTGAGACTCGAGAAGTCTAGATTGGAAAGGGCCTGATGGTTGGGCTCCTCATTCTCTCCCATTTCAAGGTGAGGAAGAACACTGGGGGTCTACACGTGTAGGGGTGGGGAGCCACGCAGGGCTCCTGGGTCCTCTCCTACAAGGACGGGCCAGCCCCGCCCCTGGCCGGGAGCCCTGCCCTGGGCCGGGAGCGCCTCAGTACCTTGTGGGTGAGGGAGTGCTGCTTGAGGTGGTGGGGCTGCACGAACTCCATGCCACACTCGGAGCAGATGTAGGGCCTGATGTCCTTGTGCTTCATCATGTGGTTCTGCAGCTGGCTGGGGTACTGGAAGGTCTTGTCGCACTCGGAGCAGTTGTACTGGATGGGGCCCCGGTGCGTGGTGAGGTGCCGCTTCAGCTGGGCCAGGGTGGGGAAGTCGAGGCCGCACTCCACGCAGATGTTTTCCCGCCCGCTGGCGTGCTTGGCCTCGTGGGCCTTGAGCTCGCTGGGATAGGCGAAGCCGCGGCCGCACACGCGGCAGTTGTGCGGCTTCACCTCGCTGTGCTGCATCATGTGGCGCTTCAGGTGGCTGGTCTGCGTGAAGGCCTTGTGGCACACCTGGCACTTGTGGGGTCGGGTGCCCTGGTGCGTCAGCATGTGGGTGTGCAGGTGGCTCAGCTGCTTGAAGAGCTTCCCGCAGCGGCTGCAGGCGTGCGGCTTGATGCCGCTGTGGCCCAGGATGTGGGTCACCAGGTTGTACTTGGAGGTGTAGGACTTCTCGCACGTGGGGCACTGCCAGCGCTTCTGCGCGCCGCCCACGTCCACGTAGTAGCTGTCGTCGATCTGCACGTTCACGTCCACCCGCTCCACCTTCTGCTTGGTCTCCTCGTTCTCCGGCGGCTCGGCTTTGCGGGGCAGCGGCGGCTCCGGCGGCCGCTTGGGCAGGAAAGTGTGCCGGCTGAAGGGGAAGGGCGAGGCCGAGGGCACGAAGAAGGGGAACACGAGGCCCGGGGCCACCTTGGGGTAGTAGGGGTAGGGCGCGGGCAGGAATGGAGGGGCCGCGGGCGCGGGCCACACGGCGCTGGGCTTCACAGGCTCCTGCTTGACGGCCTTGCCGCCCAGGTGCTCCAGGCTGCGGTAGAACTGGAAGCCCACGTTGCACAGGTCGATCATCCGCGACTCGTACTTGGGCCGCGGCGGCGGCGGCGGCGGGAAGAGTAGGGGGAGGTCCGGGGCCCCCGGGTTCTTGCTCTCCTCGGGGTGCAGGGCGAGAGCCGCTTCTTCCGCGGGGTGGTTATAGGGCATCTTGGTGGGCATGCTCTTGCGTTTGCGAGACCCTCCTCCTTCAAAGACCCCTGGGAAGCCGTCTAGCTCCCCTGGAGGAGGCTCGTACCGGAACTGGGAAAACGGCCCCCGGAGCGCTTCCGGGAAGGGGTGTCCTGGGGGAGCCTTCCCTCGGGAAACCATGGGCTGCAGGCCGTGGGGAAAGGAGGGGGCTCTCTTCACACCCAAACTGAAGTGCACATCTTCGTCTTTGACCATCTTCAGTTCCTTCTGCATCCTTGGCAATTTTCCTTTAAAGAGAAAGAAATTTATTGTTTGAAAAAAAAAATCCCTTTTATCCATTAAAATTTTTGGCTAGATGTCAGTACCAATTTATAGAGAGTAATGTTTGTTTAATACCCATCCCCATTTATCCTAAGGCTGTTTAAAATATCATTTTTTTCCCCCTTGCAAACTCGGTTACTCATGTAGAAAGCACTGGCCTCTTGGAGTGGGACCCTAGGGCTCCAGTGAAAATCCACAGTCACAAAACCATAGCTGGGGCTGGGGTGGGGGCAGGGTATGAGAACGGGCTGGACTGAGAAGAAACCTGAGAATTCATCCGGCATTTTCCCCATCTAAGATGAGAGTATCAAGGCCCAGAGAGATGAAGTGAAGTGCTGAATCCCACAGCTACTCAGTTCAGGAGTAAGAACTAGGGCACATTCTTCCAGCTTGAGATGCAATTGCATCTGCCAAATGGTGATTTAAATGTCTTTTAGGGTCATTTCTTCTCTAAGTGAATTGATCTCCCCTGCCTCTCCCTGTCTAAGGGCCTTTGCCGCTGTGTGGTAGGGATACTGAAGGCCACACAGGAGAGGAGACTTCACTGTTTATCTCAGATCTCAGACTATCTGAGTATACACCCCCAGCAAGGCCTGGTGCTTGGGTATATCAAGCAGACAAGATCAATGTGATTAAGAAAAGCATATACTTCAGTGTTAACAGAGTCATTCTGGCAATCTGTGCATTCTACCCTTCCACCTGAAGCAACTTCAGGGGAAAAAATTCCAAGATCGTGAGTCTCTCAGCCTGCTCTTGTGTCTCTTTCTTCACACCAACTTGGTCTTTGGTGTTGGTGACTCCTGTGGTATCTGTGATTTCCCTGGCATGTCTGGGAGAGCCTCTGGGTCCAGAATCTCAGCCAGGGGCCATGCTTCATCACACATGTCTCCTTGCCAGTCTTGTAGCCTCCTTGCTTGGGTACAGGTGGAAAGAACCAGATGGCTGACTTCACATTTCCAGCAAAGGCCCTTTTCTACCTAGATCTTCTCGGCCTGAATGGGATTGGCCCTCTTTGCTCAGCAGATGCTCTCACAGAACCAGTCAGCCTGGTCAGGAGTCAGGTCTGGCCTCGAGTCACTGAAGACAGGGCTGGGATAGGTTCTGGATTCACACAGGGCTCTGGCCCCTGGGAATGACCACTTGCTGAGCAGTGCAGTGTGAGGGTTCCAGGGGTGGGAGGACCAATGATTTTCTGTAGTCCCTGGTGAGGCAAATGTAATTTTATTTTGTCACCACTGACCTACTAAAGTGAAGAAACATTATTGAACAGAGATGATGTGATTTTTAACATGAACGCAGAATTATGTCTCCAAATTCAGAGATTTTACATATGCACATTTTAATTTCCTCCCTATTTTAATATGGCAAACATTTTCCCCCCAGTTTCTGACTTGTGCATATATATACCCCACCTCTAAAATAGTAGTCTGCCCTCTCTAGAATAAAATTGTAACTCAGGAGGTTTCAAAAAGCATTGAGATCCATCTATGGACATTTCCCCAGACTCGTAAAGCAGCAGCCCCTTCCTGCATAAACATCTTAAGGAGCACTGCCAATCCCTACAGAGGTCAAGGAGAACTAGAGCTGCTTCCTCCTGACCTTCTTGAGACAGAAGTCAGATGTAGCTGCTGCTAGTTATTATTATCCCCGTCTTTTTGATCTAAGGTGACAAAGAGGGCCCTGGGGGGGTAAAAGAATTACACCCTCAAACCAAGTCCATGTCGGGGATGGGGAGTATTGAAGGGGAGAGCAGAGAACAGATGTCTCCTCAGGAGGCCTTTTGTCAGTCGGTTTAAAACCCTGAATGGCCTCTGCAAAAATATTAACAGACTCCAAAAGACCTGAATGTGTGCAACCTACACGTTCCCCTCTATCTCTGAAAATAGGTCCACTGGCATCCATGAAAGATGCAGCATTCCCATGCAGGAGGCAAGAGAGGCATGGGTCAGCACAGGGGGTGGGGAACTGCAGGCCCTCCTCTGGCTGATAGTCTGTGGCTGCTCCCAGAAAAACAGCAGGTTAGAAGCCAGCTCTCTACCAGGATGTGCTGAAATAATGTGCAAAAATAAAGAACTGAAATTGTCAAAGTAGACAGCTATGGGAGAATGCAAAGAGCATTGGTTTGAAGCCTAAAGATCTGGGTTTGAATGCTGGCTTTGTGTTAGCAGCTGTGGGAAAATGAGGAAGTTAATTTGGAGGTTTGATTTTCTCATCCGTGAAATAGGGGTAGGAATATCCCCATGGGGTTGTTGGATACTTAAAATAGGGTATGTTTGTGAAAGCTGATTAACACTGGACAGTTTAGTACTCTACCCTCGCATGGTAAGAAAGGATAGACAGGAAAGGAGGACTGAGGTGGTAATCAGGGATTGAAGCCAACTGACCTCATCTCTGTTTTCCAAGCTGATGCTCTTGGTCAATAGTGATTCGCATTTGGGCCTCCTCAAACCAAGGCTATACCTAAGTTGGTCTTGTCCCAGAAGGCACTGTGAACCACACTCAAAAAAGCCAATGGGAAAGACCAGGATGAGTTTATTTACTTAGTATGGAGATCAACCTTCTACTGTAAGGATACTCTCTCATCCCTTCTCTATGGCTCTTTACTATTATGGACATATCTCAAGTCTTACATTCATAACAGATGACTTTGGTTACAAAAGGGTCTTGGGATTGGGTTGGGACAAAGGGGACGGTGTGGTCTCATGAGCTATTTTTGCCAGTCTGTGGGAAGCTGAGGAATTCTCCCTGCCTTATATAAGAAGTCAGTTTCCCAGAGACAGAGGACCTGTATATCAAACTCCAAGTCTCAGACATGGGGACAGTGCTGGGTCAACACTGGCAAACCAGCTCTTGCAGTTCCTGCTGGACTGTGAGGGCAGAGGCTGGGTCTGTTGGATTCACTGCTGGTTTCCAGCACCCAAAATGGTGCCTGGAACAAGGCAGGTGCTCAATAAACTGCTGTGGATGGCAGAAGAAATGAATGGTTCTTACTTTTATTTTTGAAGTCTCCATATGGAAATTTTTATGTTGAATTTTATTATATCTTACATTTATATAGACTGCAGTTGACTTTGGGGGACATCCCTAATCAGATCATGAGGACACATAAATTCTCAGGCAGTCACTATGGGAAGAACCCAATGTATACACCTTGCGTGTGCTTTTGTTTGGCTCAGTTCCCAAGGATATCATTCTCTGAATTGACCCTCAGATTCAGGGTAAGCCCTAAATCCTGGCTGTACTAATGCTAGAGTACAAGGTTCTGCAACTTGGTCAGAAAAGAGGTGCCTGAAAAGTCCAAAAGGCAACAGTTAGAAAGACCCCTGGATTGAAACTGTGAAGCATAAGCCAGGAGTGGGTGATTACCCTCACTTGTCCACCCCAAGGAAATGTCTGGGAAGTTAGTAGCAGTCTATCCTTTGTACTAACGTGAGGGTGGAGAGGGAGCGGCCTTAGAATAATCATGTATTTTCATTGCTGTAGTCAGAGAATGTTCTAAGGTCCCTGGCTTTCTTCCATGTATACTCAGCCACCAAACCCAATAGGCTGTAAATCACAAAGCAAATGGTTTGAGGAGGAGAATATTGGGTTGATCTATTTTAGAGGAAAATGGGGTTCAGGATGTCTTCTCTAACAGGTGTCACCTATTAGAATTAGTTAATGAGGAAATGGGGAATGAGTGGATTTTAAAAACAAAAACAAAATCTCTTCTTTGAACCATAAAGACCAATTAGAAATACAAGGCTTAACTGAGAAGAAACTACATTTAGTTTTGGGGAAAAAAATTCTTCTAATAATGCCCTTTAATTGGGAATTCACCTACTGCACCAAAATATAAACATCCCCCAGATAAAATTACTGGTATTTTGTGGTTCTCATTGGAATGGAAGTTCAGTCCAGTAAATGCTATTAGAAGAGTCACTCTGAGTCAGCATCCCAGGGGCAGATCTGTTTATCCTCATTCCACAATACTGATTTCTATTCATTCTGAAATTGGTGAAAGAATATATTCTCTGATATTCTTTATTCCTTGAAGTTTTCCAGTGTTTCCTTGGAAAACATTACGTTTTACTATTGGAGACGCTGGCTTCCCTTTTAGTTTGAGAGAGTGGCACTGTATTTACATGGTCAGCCCTACAACTCTGACCTCAGCAAAGATGGAAGCAGGGAGGAGGTGCAAGTGGAGAAGCTGAAGCATAAGAAGCAGCAGTGAGAGCAGCGCAGGCTGGAGAGGCGTGGGAGGATAGCAGGAAGGCAGGAGGGGAAATACGTGGATTGACTGCCAACCTCTCTCTGTTCATACAAAAGGATATTATTATAAGGCTCCTCCAAAATGGGATTTTATTGGATCATCTGGTTCTTTCTGAATTTGTGATAACAGAAAAATACTTTGAATCTTAGAATTAAACATTCTGATGATTCAGCATAACTGTCTTCCTATGTATGTGGTTGTACTGCTGAGTTCCTCATCTGCAGGTGTTTGGCAAGTAATGATTCAGTCTTGAGTTCCCGATATTGGCAGGAACAGAAGGATCTCTGTATGCATCTGGCAGGTAGAGCATTGTGTTCTAAAGAAATAAATGGTCTGCGTTGTCACTCCCTGGGTTAGACGTAGACTCCAGAAGAGGGAACCAGATGCCTGGTAGCCAGACCCCGGGGCCCTTCTGGATGCTCCTGTGTCCCCTGTTTAGTTTGTAAACCTGAATTCCTTTCATTTTATTATAAAAAGTAATCTATCAGCCCATAGCATGAGTTGAGTTTCCTAGGTTGGCGGGAAAATATTAATTGGTGATGAGACATGTTCACATGTGCAATAGTTAATTGAACTCACATAATGTTTTTTTTTAAGTTCCTAAATACCACCAAGACATAACATAAAGTCAAATTTAGTTTTCCATTGTTTAAATTGTCCGTAATGAGCATGCATACATACTATTTACATATAGATATAGATATGCTTTTAAAG